AAGCAATGCAAAATTTTATGTCTTCCCTTATGTCCTTAGAAATATTAAAGACACATGGTACGCTCAAACACATTGAGGGTGTATGCGACTAACAGCCCCCCAGCTGTCGATGTGTCGTGGTCCCCCCGCTCAAACATGCCCAGGAATGGAGATACAGGACCGTGGGAAAGGCTTATTCCTTGCTACTCCGCCCAAAATTCACCGCGCGCGCGGCGAAATGCAACTCGCGCGCGGTGAATTTTGGGCGGAGTAGCAAGGAATAAGCCTTTCCCACGGTCCTGTATCTCCATTCCTGGGCATGTTTGAGCGGGGGGACCACGACACATCGACAGCTGGGGGGCTGTTAGTCTCATACACCCTCAATGTGTATTGAGCGTACCATGTGTCTCCTTAAATCGTAAACACTAGTGATCCGAGCGGCGGAAATTCCGTGGGTGACCGGCCATTTACATTTGAATGGCGGCGCTCCCCTTCGCTCTAATGCGTTTCTCAGCGAGAACTTCACCGCCGCCGCAGTCTCACGGTAAATATGCATATTATTAAGAGCTCACGAGACGCAGTCGACACACGGAATTCCGACTACTTCAAACTTGGTGAGATACGAAAGAAGACAGGGCAAAAGGTTGTGGGCTAGAGAAGAAAGCGATGGACGTTGGGGCACAGCCACAATAAAGGGGTGGGTCTGATACCACAAGGAAATCCAAAATCGGGCGATTGTACAATGGACTATACTTGATCTAATCCGCTATATTCACTCTTCAAATTTTAGAGACTCTGCCTAATACAGATTCCGGGGGCACAGCGAATAGCTGGCAGTAAAAGCCCGTCATTCATTGCGCAGTCTGATGGCTTAGATGGATTGTCCCGCGGGGAGCGATTTCTCATATGCAACGTTTCAAATGGGCGACACTCGTCAAAGCCCTCTAGGGACTCCATGGTCGATACAGTTTTCACAAAGGACAGGGAGTTCAGGCCCCAAATGGTCCATCGATAACACAAGCAATACTTCGTCGGTTTCGAAAAGGAAAGGCTCACCCCAACTTCAATTCGCCGCTCATTCACTTCGACGAGATGTGCGAGTTTACGAGCGTTTTCTGGAATGGGACGAGTTAGCACGGCCCGCTCAAGCAGAGACTGGGGCTCCACAATGACCATAATGGTGGAGCGGCCACGGTCGTCTCTGAAAAATGGTCATTTTCAATTGACGGATTATCGGGAGTATTGAGCTACGTGGTATGAAAACGTAGCCCAATCAACAAGCGCACTTGGCCAGCCAAGTGAAGATAAAACGAAAGACAAGGGCGCAGTTCGCCAACGCTTGGGAGAAGGCATTGCCGACGGACTTTTGTTTGCTGCTTAACATTGACGTGTTGAGCCATCAAGTGAAGTTCTGAGAAATCTTGTGAAGCCAGCTGATACCAGCTAAAGCTTGTAGAGACCACCTGTCACACTTGTAAAGCAGTAAAAATACCACAAATTAAAAAAATGTCCCCTCGCTGAACTGAACGCCGAAAACAGCCAGAGACGGGATATCCGCGACAAGATAGATGGACCGATGGTGTTCACCATGCACACGAAATCTAATCAGAATCGCGGAGAGTGCTGGATGACACATTCGCCTCCACAATGATTTCTAAGGTCAGTAAATGACTCTCTATTCTAAAAAAATTTGGTAGTACTGAGAAAAAACAATGAGAATTCTTTCACTGATGTTTCAAAAAGGGTGAAACACCACTTCCAGCCACACTGCAAGGATCAACAATGCCCATGCTACTGCATCGCTTAACAAGAGTCCTACAGGGCTCCACAGGTGGCATGAGCAGGGATCCATAGGGACCAGTTAATGCTCCCCCAAGCTGAACTGCGCAGTATGAGTTATTGTAACTTTTCTACAATTCAAAGTGGAAATCGCTCCGTGGCGCATTCAAAAGCACTGATCGATTATTGGCATTCGATCTTTTTTCAACACATATGGAAGTGGTGTAGTTAACGAATACAGAAGAACGCCTTGGGGGGGGGGTCCTCTGGGATATATAAGTGGCCCGTGGAACAGTGGAAAAGCGGCAATAATTAATGAAGCATAGAATGCAATATATGCAATTGACCGTGACATGGACGCCTAATTCGAAAACATCCAGGAAAAGGAAGTCGAAGAGAATAAGGAAACATGACTGGCAGCGTAGGGGTATTCTAATACTGTTTCTAAAAAAAAAGACTGGGAAGACATTATAAAAACCGACAGTTTCAGAGCACGAACTGCATGCTTTCACAAAGGCAACAACTGAACAATGGTCGATTACTGGAGAAGGTTATTAGTTCCCATCAGGACGCTATTCATTCAGTGATTAGAAGAAGATCTCAGTACTCGCTACAGTATTCAGTTTTCGTCCAGCGGGGGGGGGCACC